GGGGGGGGGGGCTTTGGAAGCCCCCCCCCCTCCCTCCCTTGGTGCAAAAGGGGGGGGGTCTTGAAGCCCCCCGCCCCTTCCCCCCTTTGGCCGCCCAGCTCCCGGACCCATCGCCCTCCCTTTCGCCTCCATTTATTCCCGCCCCTCTCCCTCCTCCTCTTCTTCCTTTTGCCTCCTCCTCTTCCTCGTCCTCCTCATCCTCCTCATAGTCATCATCGTTATCATCATCATCATCATCATCATCATCATCATCATCATCATCATCATCATCATCATCATCATCATCATCATCGTACTCCCCCGCGGGTCCTTCCGTTCCGTTCCTCCTCCTCCTCGGTTTTCTCCTCCTCCTCCATTTTTCCCTTCTCCTCCTCCTCCTCCTCCTCGTCATCATCATCATCATCATCATCCTCATCCTCATCCTCTTCCTCCTCCTCCTCCTCGTGATCCTCCTCCTCCGTTTCTCCATCCTCCTCCTCTTCCTCCTCCTCCTCCTCCTACTCCTCCCTCTCCTCCTCCTCCTCCTCCTCCTCCTCCTCCTCCTCCAATTCTTTTCCCACCGCCCCGCCACGTCCGTCACCCGAACTCGGCGCGCTCTTCTATCTGGGTCCGTCCTCCTCCTCCTCCTTCTCCCCCTCCTCCTCCTCCCCCTCCGCCTCCCCCATCCTCCGCCTCCTCCTCCCCCAGCTGGCCGCCGTCTTACACGAACACTGCCAAACCCGACGGGCTGGCGTCTTCCGAATTACACTTTGTGCAACTTTCGGGGGGGATAGTATTTTTCCCAACCCTCCTTGGTTGGGTATTCGTTTTGAATAGGGCAGTGTGGTCTCCACTTCCTCCTTCCCGTCCCGTCTCCCTCTTGCCTCCTCCTGTCTTGCTTGCGGGGGGCTGCGATCAGTGAAACCGTCGCCACTTTCGAAGCTTGCTGGGGGGCCCAGCACAGTGACGCCACGGGCGGACCCAAATTTGACCTCGCCATCCCTGGGGGGCTGCGATCTGTGAAACTGTCGCCACTTTCGAGGCCTCCTGGGGGGCCCATCGCAGTGGGTACACACGGCGGATTCAGATTGGACCTCCCAATCCCTGGGGGGCTGCGATCTGTGAAACTGTCGCCACTTTCGAGGCTTGCTGGGGGGCCCAGCACAGTGGGTACACACGGCGGATTGAAATTGCACCTCGCCATCCCTGGGGGGCTGCGATCTGTGAAACTGTCGCCACTTTCGAGGCCTGCTGGTGGGCCCAGCACAGTGAGGGCCACAGGCAGATTCAAATTAGACTTCGCCATTCCTGGGGGGCTGCGATCTGTGAAACTGTCGCCACTTTCGAGGCCTGCTGGGGGGCCCAGCACAGTGAGGGCGACGCGCGGACCCAAATTAGACCTCGCCATTCCTGGGGGGCCTTCCGTTCTGATCTGCGATTTATGTGAAACGTCGCCACTTTCGAGGCCTGCTGGGGGGCCATCACAGGTGACGCACGCGCGGACCCAAATTAGAACTTCGCCATCCCGGGGGTGCTACGAGCTGGGGTGCTACGATCTGTGAAACTGTCCCACTTTCGAGGCCTGCTGGGGGGCCATATCACATGTGACGCCCACGGCGCGGACCCCAAATGTAAGACCTCGCCATTCCATGGGGGGGGCGGCGATTCCTGTGAAACTGTCGCCACTTTCGAGGCCTGCTGGGGGGCCCAGCACAGTGACGCCACGGGCAGATTCAAATTAGACCTCGCCATCCCTGGGGGGCCTGCGATCTGTGAAACTGTCGCCACTTTCGAGGCCTGCTGGGGGGCCCAGCACAGTGACGCCACGCGCGGACCCAAATTAGACCTCGCCATCCCTGGGGGGCTGCGATCTGAGATCCCCGCTTTCGAAATGGCTAGGGTTGCCCAGGGATTGCAACTAAGCAGCTTTATCTAGTCCTTGTCCTGAAGCCAGTTTCCTGCGAGTCTCCCGAGTTCCGTTTGCAGACATATGTAACCCTCGCTCCGTCATCGCCCCCTTTATAAAGTGTCCTAAACTATTTGCGCCCCGCGTTTGCGCAGGGGTTGGGTACGTCGCCAGGGTAATTTTTCGTTCCCGGGCGTTGGCACGGGACGAGTTGAATGATACACTTGCGTTGCAATCGATTGCAATCCATTGGATTGCGAACGATTCGATTGCAATCCATTGGATTGCAATCGATTGGATTGCAATCGGTTGAATTGCAATCGATTCAATCGATTGGATTGCAGGGGAGGGACAGGACGGAAGGGAGGGAGGAGGGAGGGGAGTAGAGGGAGGGGAGGGAGGAGATGGAACGAAGGGTGTGGAGGGAGGGGAGGGAGCGGAGGGAGGTGGGGAGGGGGATTGCAGTGGACTGGAGTGCAATCGATTGCAAGCGATTCGATTGGGATTTTCGATCGTCGATCGTTGATCGTCGATCGTCCATCCTCGATCGTGGATTGTTCATTTTGGATCGTCGGCGAAAGGGAGGGCGGAGGCTCCGGGGGCTGGGCGGCCAAAGGGGGCAAGGGGGGGGGGCAAGCTTCCAAGCCCCCCCCCCCTTTGGCACAAAGGGGGGGAGGGGGGTGGGAGCTTCCAGCAGGGCGGCTCCAAGGGAGGGGGGCGGTAGCTTAAGCACCCCCCCGGGGGTAGGGGGGGGTAGCTTCCGGGGCGGCCAAAGGGGGGGGAGGTGGGTAGCTTCCAAGCACCCCCTCCCCCTTGCACGAAAGGGGGGGAGGGGGGGAGGTAGCTTCCAGCAGGGCAGGCGCCAAGGGAGGGGGGGGTAGCTTAAGCACCCCCCCCCTTTGGAAAGGGGGGGAGGGGGGGGTAGCTTCCGGGGAGGGCCCAAGGGGGGAGGGGGGGGGGTAGCTGTAAGCCCCCCCCCCCTTGCCAAAAAAGGGGGGGAGGGGGGGGGTGCTTCCAACAAGGGCGGCTCAAGGGAGGGGGGGGTAGCTTAAGCCTAGCCCCCCCTCCCCTTTGCTCGGGCCCTGCGGGCGCGCTCTCTCAAACATACAAAAACACAGGGTTTCGCAACACAGAGTTGCTAAAAAAGCTTCCGCGCGAGCTCTTGCGAACTCTTCAGAAAACCATAGGTTTTTCAATATTTTCGCAACATGCTACCAAACGGGCTTCGCGCGCGCTCATGTCGAAATCTGTCGAACGCCCTTGCGCGTGTGCCGTCGCGAGAATCCCATACAAACAATTTGACGAAGTGCGAACGCGCGCGTCGTCGCGCGCGTATGCCGGAAACCGTCAAAACCCATCGGTTTCGGAAGGATTTCAAAATCGTGTGTCCAAAAAACCTACAAACACCCAAGGTTTCGCAACACGCATTTTCAACAAAAGCGTGCGCGCGCGCTCTTGCGTCGTCGTCGTCGTCGTCGTCGCCGTCCTCCCTCTCCCGCGTCGTTGTCGTCGTCGTCGTCGCCTACGTCGTCCTCTGTCTTTCCTCGTGTTCGTCGTCGTCGTCCTCTTTGGCGTCGTGGTCGTTTCCGTTGTCGTTGTCGCCGTGGTCGTCCTTCCTCCTCCTCCCTCGTCGTCGTCGTCGTCCGTCGTCGGCGTCTCGTCGTCGTCCCTCCTATTTCGTCGCCGTCGTCGTCGTCGTTCGTCGTCGTCGTCGTCCCTCGTCGTCGTGCCGTCGTCGGCGTCGCCGTCCTTCCTCCTTCTTCGTCGTTCGCGTCGTCGCCGTCCTCCCTCCTCCCTCGTCGTTGTCGTCGTTGTCGCCGTCGTCGTCCTCCCTCCTTCCTCGTTGTCTTCGTTGGCGACGTCGTCGTCGTCTTCGTCGTCGTCGTCGGCGTCGGCGTCGTTGTCGTCTTCGTCGTCGTCGACGTCGACGTCGTCGTCGTCGCCGCCGTCGTCGTCGTCGTCGTCGTCGTCGTCGGCGTCGTTGACGTCGTCGTCGTCGTCGGTGTCGTCGTTATCGTCGTCGTCGGTGTCGTCATCGTCGTCGTCGTTGTCATCGTCGTCGTCGTCGGCGTCGGTGTCGTCGTCGTCGTCGGTGTTGTCGTCGTCGTCGTCGTCGTCGTCGTCGTCGTCGTCGTTGTCGGCGTCGTCGAAGTCGTTGGAGACGTCGTCGGTGTCGTCATAGTCGTTGTCGGGGGCGTCGTCATCGTCGTTCTCGCTGTCGTCGTCGGCGTCGCTGTTGTTGCCAAGTGCCATGTGGTACCCACCGTCACGGTCTTAAGAGATTTTTCAAACCAAGTTGCGGGTGGGTGGGTGGGATGTTTGCGCGAGCAGTGGAGTGGACAACTCACTGCGAACAGAAATTAGTTGCACCACACATATTGCACCGCATTGACTGCAAGAACCTACTTGTTGGGGTCCACGCTAGCTAACATGCTTCTTTGGTTTTACACGTAGTTTGGCCTTTTTGGGCCTCCTTGGAGAGCTCTCGGGCCACTTGGGGCTACCTTGGGGAGGTCTAGGAGCCTCTTGGAGCATCTAAGAAGCCATCCTGATCCATCCTGCCATATCTTGAGCCAACATAGAGTTCATCTTGGGATCTCCCAGGCGCTGTTGGAGCCATCCCAGGCCATCTTGGAAGCTCCTTCGCGAACCCCCCCGTCCAGGTCCAGGGGAGGGGGTATGGGGGAGGGGTAGACCCCTCCCCGAAAAGGGAAGAAAGGGGGTTGGAAGAGGAAGCGCTCTAGACCACCTACGCCGGGGGCTGATGGGATTGACTCAAACGACAGGCCACATTAGAGGTACTCGCATCTCCTTGTCCGCGCCATGGCATTATCATCCTCAGTGTGCTCCGCCTCCTTACGTATTTCCTCCCCCTCCCTTTTTGTTCCCCTCTCTCTCTCTCTTTGTTTTTTTTGGTTTTCTCTCTCTCTCTCTCTCTCTATATATATATATGGCTGTGCCTGTCTTGACTGTTTTTTTTGTGTCTCCCTCTTTCTCTTTCTCCCCGCTCTCTCTATCGCTTCCCTCATTCTCCGCATCTATTCTGCTCCGTCGCCTCTTCCACACTCAGTTTCGCTGCTGCTGCACGTTCTCGCTCCGCACGCGAACTCTCCAGGGCCACCTGCATCGTAAAGTGCCTCGAGTGAGCTGCGCCGGCTTCCTGGGGCGGTCTTGCGAGTAGCTGGGGCATTATTGGCAGGTTGGTTCAGCTTGGGACTCTCGAGCGGGAAAGGGATATGTGTGAGTGTGTGTGTGTGTGTGCGTGTGCGTGCGTGCGTGCGTGCGTGCGTGCGTTCGTGCATGCGTGTGCATGCGTTTGTGTGTATGTGGGGCTTTGTGGCTTTACGCCGCTACCAACCTCCGCTGGTCGCCAAGTCGCGTCGCCCCCGCTCACTCCCGCTTACCCCGCTCGGCTTTTTCGTGCGGGTTCGAGGATTTGGGGTTTGTCTGCGTTTTCGATGCGTTGCCGCAGAAGGTGGTAGATCCGGCCTGTGCGTGCCCCGCCTGATCTCCGCCAAATGGTGTCATCGGCGCGACGGAGGACACAGTGTCTGTGTGTGGGCGGGGGGGAGAGACTGGAGGGAGAGATGACTCCTTGTGTTTGCCACTCCAATTGCAAGTGGCGCCTGTGGCAATTTGTGGGCGGCTGCCCGCTCTTTTCCTCGACTTACCCCGCCTCGCTCAGCGCCTGTTTGGACGGTCCGGCCATTTCCACTTTGGCCATCCAGAACCCATCAGTAATTGCACGATCTTGCATTAGAGCTGGATGTGTGCAGCATTGCGCTCTGGACCCGGCGCGTCCACCGCGTGCAAGGCATGGTGAACGTTGTGGATATCAAAGTGTACTATCCAAAGGGCTGGCGCCACGCCGAGGGATCCGTCCGAATTGAGCGCGCAGGAATTTTAAACGGTCGGGGTGCCCTCGATAGTTTGCTTTTCAAGCTCAGGCGCGCTGCCCGAAAAGTTCTTCGATCAGCTTCGTCATCTTGCTGGCAGAATGCAGCTATAGGCTTTTCTCTCGGGGTCCACCGCACCAGTGGAGTGCGAGGTGCAGATGCGATGGATGCCCGCTGTTTGGGCCAGCGGATCGTGAAAAGGCGCCATTTGAGATGACCCGCGTGCGAGAGCTCTGCTTGACATCGGGCAGTGCGGAGAAAAGAGCGGTCGACCTCGTGTGGTACACGGGCAGCGTGGCTTGCTGCCGGAGGCAGACGAAGCCGATGGGTAGGGCGATGCATCCACCGTACTTCAATCTATGTTTCTGAGCAAGACGTTTCAATTATCCACCTCTGGACGCTCCTCCCTCCTTTCTTTATCTTTCCCCCTCTCTCTGGCCTCCTCCTTCCTGCCTCCTCTTTCCTTTCCCCTCCGCGCAACTATTCATTGTGACTGCTACTCTCTTCTCTCCCCCGACGTGTCGACATGTACCCAGACTGCTGCACGGCATAGATCATTCTAGGCCTCCCTAATGGGGCCAGAGCCGGCGGGTTCGGAGGCTTGTGTCGCATCGCCGATGCACCGGCCATGCCGCGCGATCCTCCCACCCGATCTGCTCCGGCCCCAGTCTGGGAGGCGTCCATTATTGTGGAGTGAGGCAGGAGGCAGGTCGCCTAAGCACCGAGGTCGACCGCGTGTGGTGCTGCGCACGCGGCCGGCAAGCAAGGCGACGCCCTGCTCAAGACCAGCGACTGTGCTCTTTTTCCTCTTCAAAGCCAGCGACAGACTTCTGAGCGTTTTGGGATGGGTTGGATTAGCTGTCGGAGATCGGCCTGAGTTTCGCTCCCGCTCTCACGGAGCGCAAGAAACCGAAGCACATGAAAACGTCAGGCTTGCCCCGGCGCCGACATATGGTGTATTCCGATGTTGCAATGTGGCCCAAGCATGTTCCGTTGCCACAAGCATCTCCGTGTTGTTTCATTCCTTAGCAACTTGGTAGCAGGTTCGACAAGTTGTCGATCCTCGGTAGCCGGCACGCGAGTATTAGAATCCAATGGTGAATTTCCGTGGCAACAGCAGTACGTTGGACGAGCCTAATTCTTCAGTGCGACATGTGCAACGGCAGTCGATGTTATTGGAACGATGTGGCAGCCCAGACATCAATATGTCTCCAATTTTTCATGGTGCAAAGTGCTCGCAGGAGTTGTGCGACACCCTGTCGAGGGAGGAGTTCTCCTTGGCCCACTACTGCTTGGATCGGTGGGACAGCGAAATGCCGGCTGTCAAGACGAAAGGGCCAAACCTCCAGGGCGCGATGCAGACGTACACCTATGGGGAAGTCCGCAGTGCGGCTCGGGCGGCAGCGAACGTCCTCTGCACCCATGGGGTCCGGAAGGGCCACAAGATCCTAGTCCTTCAGTGGAACTCCTGGCCCTGCGTGGTCTCTTACTGGGGCGGGCACTACGTCGGGGCGGTCCCCGTGATGTCGATCCCGACTCACGTGGAGCGCAAGTATTTGATTAAATACACGGCTTGCCGCGCTGTGGTGGCCCCCTGCGCCATACTCCAGAGTCTCCGCCGGGAGATTGACGACAGGACTTTCGTGCAGCTTCTCCTTCTCACGGACCTGCCCGACACGCTTGACGCTGCAGAGCTAGAGGTCCGGCCGCGAGCGGCTTGTGAGGAGGAAGAGGCCTTCCTCGACGGCGACTTCGACACCACCGAAGCGGGCGAGTATGCGACCAAGGTCTTCGACGGCACCGGCCGGGCAGAGGCGTTCTCCGCCGCAGCCCTCCAGGAGCACAAGAGCGTCAGGCGCCTCGACGAGGCCCTCTGGTATTTCACCTCGGGGACCACGGGCAAGCCCAAGGGCTGCACCCACCGGCAGATCGACCTGGCTTTTGCGGGGGAGACGTATGGCCGGGACGTCATGGGGTGCAGGGAAGGTAAGCTCTCGGCCACGGACGTCCTCATGGCCGGCCCCTATGCGATGGGGTCGAATCTCATTTTCCCTTTCTGCGCTGGGGGTACGATTTTCCTCGACCATTTCGATAAGCTGAGCCCAGGTCCTCCCGACAGTCGCTCGCAGGTGGAGCGAATACTCCTCGCCAGCAAGCCGGACCTCTTCGTCTCCATCCCCGGATCAATTGAGGATGTTTGTTTTGTTTGATGTTGTTGCCTCTCATGTTTGCGAAGCTGGGCCCTGCCCAGACCTTTGGTGTCGTTTTTTGTTTTTTCCTCCGCAACGTCGACTCCTGGTGGTTTAGGCCACTTCCCCGGGACGTGCTTTTCATCCCCCGCCGTTATTTGACGGTCCCAGGGCCGGGGGGGGGGGCCCACGGATTTCACAAAAGGTCAGAAACCAACCGTCGCGCTTATTCACGATGCGAGAAGCAGAAGGTTTGGTTTCGGGTCATAGCTCGGGTTTATGGCGGCCGTTCGTGACACTTCGGGCACCCACGGAACGCCCTCGGCGAGGCGCGGCTTCTGGAAATCATCCCGAGGCTGGAAGCCTATGGGAACCCGGGAACCAACGAGAACACCCGAAAACCGATCCTCGAAACTCGAACCCTCAGCCTACCACCCCCCTGGGGCGGAAAGGTCAGACCCCCACCCCCTTTCCTGGACCAGGGCGGGCGACAACAGGGGACTAGGAAAGGGAGGTCTGCTGCATGCAGCTGTGCGGCCGGGCCATTTCCTCGACACATGGGTGCCTCTGGCGCCAGAAAGACCAGCTGCGTGAGCTGATTGGCTGACCTTTCCTTTACTGCCCCCCCCTACGTCTGGCCCGACTGGAACCTCCACGGCGCTCTCCATAGGGGCCGTCGTAGTCCCCTCCGCAAGAACATCTCACAGCGGCCCTGGGGCCGCACAAAGTCGCCCCTGAGACGGCTCCAGTATTGCCCAGGAGTCCGCGCTTGCGCCAAGAAGGCCCCATGGCGTACCCAGAAGGCCCCGATGGCCCCACACCAGGGTTTTAAGAGCCCCAGCATCATCTAGAGTCCCCAAACATACCCCCTAAAGAGGCCGCCGAATGGCCTCCCAACGACCCCAACACTTCCAAGCAGGCCTCTCAAGTGGTGCTTACGTCTTCCCCCTCCCCTTCCCCTCGCCCTCCCCCCCTTCCACCGCCCCTCCCGCTGGCAGGCATGTGGTGGGTGTGCCTGTCGCTTGCGTTTTGCAGGTGTCGACGTGTAGTCGTATCTCATAGTGGTGGAGATCACAGCTTCAGGCGAAAGGCAGAAGTCCTACGGGGAGAAGGGTGGAGGGAGACAACGGTAGAGGAGGAGAGAAGAAGCAGGACGATGAGGAGGAGAAGGAGGAGGAGGAGGAGGGAGGGAGAAACTACGGGGCCAGCATGCCGGAACAATCGCCGTCCCTGGAGGATTATTGTAATGCCTTCTAGGCGCCCCAGTTATCGGGGGGACATATCGTTCCAGGGCGTTCCGGAAATCTCTCAGAGCGTTCCAGAGCGCTTTGGGACGGCCGCGGCGCCCGATACATCCTCCAGAACCGCCAGGTCTGTGAGACCACCGATTTATCCCGATCCGATTTTGTCCTGGTCCTGGTCTTGTCTCAAGGAATGCCCCCCGGCTGTCCTGTCAGGGCCCCAAAGCGGCCGCAGCACGTTCTGGCAGGACTCTGTTGGAACTTGCCGCTACAGTCCGAGAAGAAATGTTTGGAAATAGATTTCGCGCTCGCGTGGGGGCCACGTTCTTCGCGGCGTCGCCATTAAGGTTGCAGTGGAATGCCTTGCGTGAAAGCGCGACGTCCAGATTTAGTCCAATTCTTGCGGCCGTTTCGGCTCCATTGCTGTGCATGGCCTTGCGTTGCATCGCGCGTGGTCGCATTGCAGCGCGTCGCCTTACTTGTGCGCGCACACATACCACCACGCGCGCACGCACGCGCACCACCAATCACTACGCACGCGCGCATACACACACGCACACACACATTCAAACACATTCACACACAGACACACAGACACACAGGCAGACAGACAGACAGACAGACACAGACACACAGACACACAGACACACAGACACACAGACACACAGACACACAGACACACAGACACACAGACACACAGACACACAGACACACACACACACAACACACACAACACACACAACACACCCTCCCCCCCCCCCCACACACACCCCACCCACCACCCACCCCAAGCACACACACACACA